TTGTAAATCAGGAAGTTAAAGGGAATGAGGAATTTAAAATGATTACAATCACCAGGAAAAGGGACTGAGAAAATTACTAGAACTAAAGGCTGATGTATCTTTTGATCCAATGGGCTGCATCCTAAGGCCTTAAAAGAAGTTGCTGCTGAGATAGTAGATGCATTGGTTTTAATTTCCCAAAGTTCCATTGAAGGTTCCGTAAGATTGGAAAATAGTGAATGTATCCCATATTCAATAAAGGAGACAGACAGAAAGCAAGCAATTGCAGATCAGTTAACCTAACATCTGTTGAAGGGGAAATTCTGGCATCCGTTATTAAGAGGTTCTCAAAGGACACTTCGAAAATCTGAATGCAATCACATAGATCAATATGGTTTTCTGAAAGCTAAATCAAAGTTTGACTAATGTATTAATGTTCTTTAAGGAACTAACAAACAACATGGATGAAAGGGAACCTGTAGATGCAGTGTATCTCTTTCCACCACACTTCCTGTGGTCTGCTGGATTTCCAGAAGTCATTTGACAAGGTGTCACTCTAAATGATACTACAAAGAATAAGAGTTCATAATGCAGGAGTTAACATATTAGCATGAATAAAAGATTGGTTAGGTCGCCAGAAACTGAGAGTAGGGATAAATGTGCCTTTTTCATGTTGTCAAGATGTAACCAGTGGAGTGCCACAGGAATCAACACTGACCCACAATTATTTCCAAGCTACATCAATGGTTTGCATGTAGGGACTAAATATAAGGTTACTAAATTTGCTGATGGCATAAACTTAGACAGGAGAGTAAACAATGAAGCAGTCGTATGGAGTGTGCAAAGGGATATTGATAGGTTGAGTGAGTTGTCAATGAAAAGGCAGGTGGAGTATAATGTGGAAAAAAGTGAACATGTCCACTTTTGCAAGAAGAATAGAAAAGCAGAATATTATTTATATAGAGAGAGGTTGCAAAAATCTGTAGTATAGAGCGCTTTCTGGTACAAAATGTTAGTAGCAGGTGGAGCGAGTGATTAGAAAAGCAAACAGAATCTTGTTAAAGGGAATGGAATACAAAAATAGGGAAGTTTTGTTACAATTCTAAAGGGCATTGGCAAGGCCACATCTGAGCACAGTCTGCAGTTTTGCTCTTTATTTATACAAGGATTTAATTGCTTTAGAAGCAATGCAAAGAAGGTTCACTCAATTGATTCTTTGGAGGAAGGGGCTGCCTTATGGGGAAAAGTTGGATGTGCAACAATTGAGTGTAGGAGAATAAGAGGTGATCCTTTTGCAACATAAAAGCCTTGAGCAGACTTGACCGGAAGGATATTGAAATGATATTTCCCCTTGTGGGAGCAACCAGAACCAGGAGACACAGGTTAACAACGAGGAATTTCCCATTTAAGACAGAGATGAGGATTTTTGTTTCTTTCAGAGGTTTGTTAGCCAAGGAATTCTCTTCCCTAGACAGCAGCAGAGATTGGATCATTGAATATCTTTAAGGCTGAGTAAAATAATTGTCTGGTAAGGGTGTCAGAGGGTAAATGGGATGACATCAAAGTAGAGACCACAATTGGATCACAATCTTAACAACTGGCATAGTAGGCACAAGAGGCTGGATTAGCTACTCCTGTTCCAAATTTGTGTGTTCAAATGCTCATGGTTTGACACTTGATTCCCTTATGTCCTTGTGAAGTAACAAGAGATGACCTTTATATTTGAAGACTGCAAATATTCATGACATGCTGTCTGTTTGTGTAACTGCATGCCTGGATCTTTATATGTTATAAATAGTGTCTGTATGTTTCTGAAAGCACAGTGGGATGTGTTTGAAACTATGAGAGATTGACTAGGTTAGGATTGTTTTTGCTTGAGTTCAGACGAATGAGGGGGGATCTCATAGAGACTTATAAAATTCTAACAGGACTGGACATGGTAGATGCAGGGAGGATGTTTCCAATGGTGGGTGTGTCCAGAACCAGGGGTCACAGTATGAGAATTCAGGGTAGACAATTTAGGATGGAGATGAGGAGACATTTCTTCACCCAAAGAATGGTGAGCCTGTGGAATTCATTACCACAGGAAGTAGTTGATTCCAAAACATTGAATGTATTCAAGAGGCGACTAGATATAGCACTTGGAGGGGGCGGATGGGGTCAAAGTTTATGCAGAGAAAGCAGGATTAGGCTATTGAGTTGAACGATCAGCCATGAACGTGAAGAATGGTGGAGCAGGCTCAATGGGCCGAATGGCTTCCTCCAGCTCATATGTTCTATGTTTCTAATCCAACTAGTTTCCTAGTGTGCTCACCTTGTCTCATTTATTGTTGCTTGGAGTAATCAACTCACTTGGCTGGACGGCTGATTTGCAGCGCAGAGTAATGCCAACACAAGGGTTCCATTCCTGCACCGGCTGACGTTACCATTGAAGATATCTCCTTCTAAATCTCACCCCTTGCCTGAGGCATAGTGACCCTCAGGTTAAACCACCACCACCTCTCTCTCTCTCTGATGAGAGAGCAGCTGTATGGTCTGATAGGACTCTGACAACTTTCCCTTTAGCTTAGATGAGTGCAGCTTCTCTTAACTCTTCAGTTGTTGGAAATCTATCAGACCTATCTATTGTTGATCTTGGGGAGGAATTTTAATATCTCTCCAGAGACAAATCTGGAGGTTTGGCATTGGAAGGTACAGGGCAGGATTTGAGAAGATGAATATCCTGCTGCTGTCCTGACTCACTCATTTAAGTTTCAAGTGGGAATGGTGCAGGGTCGTCATCCAGCCCATTGGCCAATTAAAACTCTTAAAAAGTCACTTAAAGGCCTCATCCTGCTTTTGCTAGTATTCGAACGCTGGTGGACAGACAACTCACCATGCAGGAAAATTATACAGCAAGTTCTGTTAGATTTGTCTGCTATCTAGTGGGTCCCTCATTGTCAGGCATTCTACATTCGATTAAGGATCCCCAGCAACAGGAGAGGATGGTCCCGAAACCAGCACCTGCCCTTGCTTTGTACACCATCTTCCCCTAGACATCCTCACTTTGCCCCTCCCTCTGCCCCACCCAGGCAGCACACGTGTCTCCAGGGATCCAGAGACAATCTCTGGTAAAGGCCTGAAAGCAATGGAGATAGGATTTCTGCCCTTTTCGGGGCTTAATTTGATGGGAGTCTCAACCCTGTACAGGTAAGTGCTTGATTATGTCGGAACAATGTCAAACCTCCCAGAGAAAAGCTATGTGGGGCATTGAGTAATTTCACAGCTAATTTCCGCACACCAAAACCCCAATTGCCAACTTTGGATTATGTTTTTGGTATCATAATTAACCCTGAGAATCTGCTGACTGTGCCTTAATTTGCACCAAGTCCTGTTCACCTGACATTCTTGTGCTTCAGAAATGAAGAAGCTTCATACCGTGCTCGAAACATTAACTCTGTTTCTCTCTCCATAAATGCTGCCAGACATGCTGTGTTTCTCCAGCATTCTCTGTGTTTGTTTCATGACTTTAAAATTTTCACCTTTGTTTTCAAATCCCTCTTTGGCTCCACCCTTCTCCTCCGGCCCGCAACTATCCAAGAAATTTGCACTCATCTAATCCCGGTCTCATTAGCATCCCAAATTTAATTTCTTTACCATTGTTGGCACCTGCAGTTATCTAATCAATCTCTGCTTCACTTTCTTCCTTTAAGATTCTCTTTAAACACGTCTCCTTCAACAGTCTTTTGTTTTTCATCTGACCTAATATCTTCTTATGTGGTTTGGTGGTATATTTTGTTTTATTATGCTTCTGTAATATTTTGTTCTGGTATCAGTACTAGAAAAATACAAGTGTTTGTTTGAAGCACACACTGATTCATTTTATACAAATGAAAAAAAATCATATTTTTTCCTCAAGTTTTATTTCCACTCTACACAATACTCTTGAATTACTTGGATATATGTGGCTTTGTGAAAAAGTGTTGATCCAGATCTCAGTCACCAACAAAGTTTCTGCTGTGTCTTCTCCCTCCTCTGCAGCTTCCTTTGTATATAGATTTTGCTTTGAGTGAGACAAATAATTGAAGCTCGAAATGAAAATGTCAATGTGGACAAACTCTAAAGCATCCTCCATTGTTTGAATAGCAAGGATTTGTCCAAAATTACCTTCACTATGTTACCTTTTGTGAATTTTATATTTATTGTGTGACTTCTGTAAATTTTGTACATTCTGCCTTCTTACTTCTTGTTTCCATCTGTTTACCTGCCAACCCTTGGAGATGGATTGGCTTAATGAGAAAGCATTTATGGTTCATATAGATATGAATTGCTGCATGACCATTTCTGCATGATGGAACAGATTACAGTTCATCCTAAAAAAGGTCGGGCAAACAGTATTTTGCAAAGACAATAGATGACTGCTTGTTAAATAGATTGCATTTATTACATCAAATATGTCGGTTAGCTGCTTAGCTCACCAAGTTCACTGAAGGGTGAAGAGGATTTGGATTCTCCATCACTATTACCACCTCTCCGTGGATCAGGGCAAGGAAGCTTGTGGACCTCCACAGCTCTTGGAGATAGAGACCTTCTCTCTTTAATCTCTGAAGGGTTCAGTAACTCCTGAAGGTGTTTTATGTAGTTGATCGCAGCCCTTAAGGTCTCTACTTTGCTCAGTCTTTTGTCTGCAAAATCATCAGGGAGATGCTCTCTGAGTCGTGCATAGCCTTCATTAACGTAACGCACCCTCTGCCGTTCCCTTTCATTGCGTTTTCTGATAAAAGCTGGCTCAAAGGAATAATCATAGATCCCCAAGTGGCTGTGGAAAGGTAGATAAGACAACCTGCTGACATATCCTTCACGATATGTACCATCCAGGTATGCAGGATCAACAGGAAAAGATAATGGCAAACCTTCTGCAAAAGGCATCCCAAGGCACTCATGTACCCTCGCCATGGGCACTCCGATGGGTCTTGGGTAAGGAATTCTTTCCAGTGTTGATCCTCGTTGATTGTCATCCATTTCAAATTCCAATGCTTGAGCAGAAAAGTTTACCACCCTTTATGGCAATTTACTGTCAAAAATTATGTAAATGTTGGTAATGCCGATATTCCTAGCTTGAAATTCTCAAATGCACCTCATGTCACATTAGTGTCTTTCAAACTTCAGACAAAAGGTCAATAAATGTTAAGTGGTACAGAAGCTGTTCTATGTGTCCTTGCTGGAATTCTCTGTTCCAAAATTAAAATGCAAAGAATGTCAGTTAAACAAAAAATACTTGAACTGGTCTTTCTCTGAATTTATGTCAGCACTTAAATATTCACAGCATCGACTGCCATCTTACACATGATATTTTGGCAAACAACGTTTTAGCACATTGGTAGAAGTAACATATATTAGACATGTTATGGTGATATAGGAGAACGCAGATATGACAACAGGAAATGGCTCTTAAATTAACTTTTGTGGTCACTAAGAATGTAGAAAGACCTGTTCTAATCACCCTGTGGTATTAGCCATCACCTAATGTGTGACCTAACAACTGTAAATCTGTAGATTTGTTTGTTACATTATGCTTCCAGTGAAAAGTTCTGAGTTAATATTATTTGTTCACCCATTCGCAATTGTGACATTGGGAAATATTCAAACTACTCTTTGCCCAGCAGTAAGAGGAGGAGATGGAAGGGAGAGGATTGTCAATTAAAATTGATCTGGAAACTCATCTACTAGCCAACAACCTCTGCCATAAACCAGCGGGTCCTTTTCTGAATATGCAGATTGAGTCCAGATGGTACAATTGGAATCCTACTGCAATATTAACCACTGGCACCAACTTCCCTGGCAGGCCAAACTGCTTGAAAAGCTTCAACGAGTTTTTCTTTAAATTGAGTTTTACTGTGGTGCCAAAGAAGCAGGTATGACCCTCAAGGAAACTTTGAAACACACCTACTCTAGGTTTCCATTTGTTCTCAGCCCCATTACGTTCCACAAAACCATGATCACCTCCAGACTCTGCTCTCCAGATATGATGCCAGGCACCTTTCCCTTAAAACTCTGGAAGTCTGCCTGTCAACCTCCTTGCTATTCTCACTGTGTTCAAGAAATTAGTTTGTCCTACAGAATATTAATGACCCCTGGCCATTAATGTCAGATGGACCTTGTACTTGTAATTTGCTAGGTCACAATCTCACCAGGACGTTGGACAGAACTGAATCCATTGTCTCTGTAAAATGTGAAAAGTATTCCTTACTGATAATATTTTTCCATGCTGTTTTGAATTAGTAATTTACATTGTCGCCACATCACTAAATTTTCTGTAAGTTAAAATGACAGAGAATTGTCTCTTCTTTAACTCAATCAGATGGGACAAAGGCTGAGATGACATCATGAAGAAAACATCTTCAAAGCAACAGATCAGTGAGATATTGAAATATTGAATGCCAAGATTAGATGTAACTTACTGTGAATTTTGAGCAGACCTTTGCTTGTTTTGCCCAAACTTTTTCCTTGCATCACGGCTTAAATTTCATTTATAAATACTGCAGAAGGAAATAGTGTCAGACATCAATGTAAAGTTCCAAATTATTTACCTTTTACTATGAGATTGTGTATGAATATTCAGGAATTAATATCTGTGCCACTGCATTAAAATGAGTGGAAGTAGAAATTAATCTTAATAACAAAAAAATAAAGTAAAATGAGAGATGTAAGACAATGAAAAGCATTAAAAAGAAGTGGATAATGGTGGGGGGTAAGATTATAAAGAGGAAATAGTACTTAATCTCAATCCTAATACACAGAAAACGAAGAGAAGGTAGAAGAGGAGGATTGGGACAGACATAAAGAAAGAGAAATTAATCTTTATTAGTGAATATCCCCTACAAGGAAATTTATACGAGTATTGCAACATTAGAAAAACATGCAGTACTGACTAGTTCTAACTAAAAAAGAGTAATACAGGTTTGAAAAATTGGATAACATCAAAGCCCAACTGGAGAATTGAACCAGGGATGAGGCGTGAAACATGTAGAGAAAATCAAAAGGAGAAAAACATTCCTATAATGGTTGAAAACAAAAATCAAAATAATGAAGAAAGGAAAGAATAAGAAAGAAACACAATCCACCAAAAGAAAATATGAAAAAGAAATGAAAGAGATGTGGATTTAAAATAGTGGCAAAGAGAAGGAGAAAGATAAAGAAACAAGATGAAAATAAAGATGGTACAAATAATTGTTATACAAGAATAAAAAAAGCAAGTTTTTTTTTGAAAAAGCACAATGCTCATAAATATTATTTTCAATTACTGTGAGTGATTTGGGTACAACTTTCCTTACCTTTGGTTCTATAATTTTCTGGCCATTTTACTGTTCGCCACACTCTGCAGATTGATATTTCTCTGAAGGAAACAGGAAGCACAGGCACTTCTGACTTCTTAAAACTTGAAAAGTCTTCTGAGATTTTTCCAATGTTTAAGTAGCTTTTCAAGTTCCTGGCTTTTGACCTCAAAGAGTTGAGGAAAGCTTCACAAACCAGAAGCAAACGGATGGCTTCTTGCGCTGATTTTCAAGGTATACTGAAGACTGCTTCGGGCTCTTGTGTTTTGGGATCAGATAATTTCTCTCAGATCAAAGAGTAGCACAGATTCTTCAGAGTCCTGCCTCCTCCCACCCAGACACTTAGAAACATTTGAATAGTGGTGATTGAAATAACATTACTACTGCATAGATCAGTGATCAGATTTCAGCTTTGGTACGAAGAGTACCACAAAGATGAACTGGATAAATGGAAAGGGAGCTAGAAATCAGACCTAGTCAGAAATATAGAGCTACATTAATACAAAGAGAAATATATGCAAACATATACCTGGTGATAAATGGGATTTATACAAAAGATAGCATAATAGATATACTCAGATGGAAACATTAATAAAGATAGGTAAAAAGTAGTAGCTAAACTGATAAATGGAAGACCAGGTAAACTGGGTGGAAAAATTCAGTAAATGGTTATGATGAGACAGTGAAGTTGGAAACTGTCCGGCCTTTTCTCCTGCCTGGCATATATTGTTCAGTCTCATCATAACCTTCAACATCACATTGTCATTGCTGAATAATGGCAGTGTGACACAACTTTGCCTTGGATGTCAGATAAACAAAGCTTGCTGTCAGTTCTGGAATATAAGTAAACACTCTCTGTGGATGATCTGAAGGCATTTAACTGCAGCAAAGGCAAGGATATATTAAAGAGTGTCAGTGCCATCATACAACTTTATTTGACCCTACTCAGCATCTCAAAGGGTTAAATATTGTGTAATCATTGTGGATGTTACCCATCACATTGTCATGGAAAGATGGGATTATATTGAACAGCTTCAGTGCACAGTCAACTTTTCTCCCATAGTGCCAAGAGCGGAGCACCAGCAAGTTTTAAAAGAGTGTGGAGAAAGGAGGGGATTCATACTAAACACATTTCTGAGATGGGGGCGCAGCAAGTTTAAGAAGAATGGTAAAATTAATTACAAATACAGGGATGAGGGAGGATTGGCAGCAAGTTTAAGAAGCGTGGGGACAGAATTCATTCTAAATGTAGTGCTGAGACATGGGGAGCAACGAGTTTCTTTCTTGAGCTGCTTGATTGAGTTTTGAAAAACAAAGATGAGGCCCTGCAGCAAGAATTTAGGGAGCTAGGCAGCAGCTTGAAAAGCAGGATCTCAAAGGTTGTAATCTCTAGATTACTCCTGGTGCCATGTGCTAGTGAGAAGGCAGATAACTAAATGAATGCATGGCTGAAGAGTTGGTATGAGAAAGAGGGCTTTGGATTACTGTTTCACGTGGTCTGTTTCTGGGGAAGGTAGGTCCTGTACAAAACCAACTGGTTGCATCTGTAGGGTGCTGTTCATAGTGGTTTAAACTAATTTGGCAGGGTGGAATACAGAGTGGCAGTGTGAAAGAGGATGATGCACAGACAAATATAGAAGAAATGCCAATTTAGTCTGGAAAGCAAAGCATGCGCAGTTGAGTTAATGTTAGGAATGTTAGATCACATTTTTTTACAGTGAATCAAATGAGTAAGGCAGATGGATTGAGGGTGTTGATTAACACATGGATATATGACATAATTGCTAATCACAAAGACAAGTTTGATGGAGGGCAGGATTAATCTTCCCATTCTGAAACTATATCTGGAGCACCTACTTCCACAATTAGTTTCTGCAAGAAAAATTCATCCTTTTTTAGACATCTATGCTCAGAGGAGATCCTTACGTAAGCCAGACGGGAAATAAATGATGGTTACCAGGAAATTCATTGCATTTTGCTATCTTTTGCTTTGCAGAAAATTTGGAAGCAAGAACATGGCTTCTTCCAATTTCAAACAAACTCCCAGGTCATTTCCATTGCTGATGTTGCCTCTAAATAAAACTGTTTTTTCCTTCATGACAAACAATTCTGTGCACTGAAATTACACTGTTTCCTCTTCTAGTTCATTACTTACAATGTCATTAAAACTAAAAAAAAGTGTTTTTCCTTTCAGTTTGCACACTTGTGTGTTGAAATGCCCATGTTGGCTTCATTTAATGTAGTATATTAGTGAACATAAATTGATAAGCCTAGTTTGCTTACATGAAAATGGTGACACTGCAGAGATAATTAATTGGAGACAAAGAACTCTGTGTCATCGGGATACGACTGAACAAGTGCAAGTTTTTTTTTCTTTGGTTCCAATGTCCGGATAGTCTGTCAATTTAGCTGATCCTACACAGCAGGCTCAGTCCAACAGTCTGTGGTTGATTTGAGTCATTTCTGGGATTGAGCAACTGGGGGCGCAGTGGGGACTGCGCAGGCGTACTGCGACACCGCGGGCCAGACTGCGGGTGTGCGGCTGCGCAGACTGTCTGGTAGGTGACAAACAATCGGCGCAAAAAGACATCGGAAAGGAGGCGAAGTAAGAAACCCGGGAGAATGGGGAACAAGCGGGGACAGGGGGGAGCCAGGCCTGGTTTCCAGCAGACATTAGGATCGTTGGGGTCGGCCGTCTGACCAGGGGGTCAGTGAGCATCACTTTTCCCTAACTGATCCCTGGCTGAGCAGTGTTTGTCACCCTGAGACTGACAGCCCTGACTGGGCAACATGTAACCTGACCCCAACAGGGCAAATGGGGGGGATCTTCTCACTGCTTTCTGCTATCTGCCTTATAACTGGGCCACTCACCCTTTGCCCAGCCAGGCCCTGCACCTACCCTGTGCCTGGCCTGCCCTTGCCCCCACCGTGTACCCACCCAGGCCCTGCACCCACCCTGTTCCTGGCGAGTCCCTGCACCCACTGTGTACCCAGCCAGGGTCTGCACCCACTGTGTGCCTCGCTCATGTTTGCACCAGGCCCCAGGCAGGTCTTGTACCCAGTTGGCACAGGCCATGTCTAATAAAACTAATTGGCTATGATAGATTTGCCCATTTTTAAGCAGGACGTGCAACATCTGCACAACATTTGTATGTTCCACAGACTAAAAACGTGTGGTAAAAGATCTGTATCTGTTAGTGGATTGGTGGGTGTAGTTTGTTTCTGCAATTTCACGAGGTTTCTGTGGTATTCCATGGGTTTTATTGATGTATGTGTGCTGATTGCATTTGTAATTAGTAAGCATGATGTATACTGAGAGTGTCTACACTGATACATGAACTCGATTGTAAGGTGGGTTTGTATTGATACTGCATTGAGGCTGCAGAACTGTATTCCGGTTAGTAATGTGCCTCTGTTAGTAATGAGGTGGGATTTGTGAGGGATGGTGTAGATGGACATGTACTTTATGTGGTTTATGTTGTAACTGGACTAGAGTAGTGTAAACACAAATTTCTAATCAAGCTATTCAGAGATTTAATTGCATACCTCTGAACAGTTCGAACTTGAACCTGAGCCTCATGGCTCAGAGGTAGGGATACAACCACAGAACTGCAAGACCCTTCAAAACTGTATTCTGAGGTTCATGCTTTGTCTTTACTTTAACATTCTCTTGCTTTTCACAGTGGGAATAGATGGATACTTCAGCAGCAAAAACCTTCTGGGGTCTGATAAATCAGGAGACAGCTTCAGGTAAATTCCTGCTTTTGTCGTAACAGTATGAAAGAACCACCTTATTTTCTGTAGAGTGCTGTACCTGGATGTTTTTCTTTTCTTTGAAATTACAATTGGTTGCACCGAGAGGAGGTGAGTAAGTAGAGAAGAGTCTATGATATGACAGTGGTCAGAAGGGTGGGATTTTTAAAAAATGGAACTATGATAATCAATTTATTGTCTCTAACCCATAAGTGAAGGAAGTTAGTGATATTCAGAAGTGCAGTGTCAGCATCATTACAGTACAGGATGATTTGAATTCTCTAGATTTTACATAATCAAATCTCTGATTCAATAAGTGAATGATTGTAAAGTAGGACTAGAAGTCCTGTCCTGTTGGATTTGTGGGATGGAGGTGACCATTGTTATTAATTACATTTGGCAGTGTCAGTTGATGTCTTCGCTTTAATGGAAGGAAATGTCTTGTGTTACATATGCTTTAAGTATTAATTCCTGCCTAATTTTGATGAAATGAACTTCCAGCGAGAGAATGCTATATCTGCAGTTAATCTCGGGCCACAATCACTGATTAATAACATATACATTGTCTATTTTTAAGCATGAATGACATCAACCTGAGCCCTGTGGGGATGGATCATCTGAGTGCTTCATCTGTTAGCACCACCTTACCTGTTACAGGAAGTCACCTGGGCATGGGTTCACCCACCCACAACCCTCTCCCAGCTCCAGGTATGAAAAACTGATGTAAATTGGGAAATTTTAGGTTGCAATAGCTGATATTCCCCACTAGCTAATAGACAGTAGACTACACATTCCCTGTTAACCAGTCACCCAGCAATCTCTTGAGTGCCAGTTGCATTTTCCTTTCTTAGGATTACCATTTCTTCTAAGTGTCTCACGATGCTTTTGTGATTATCTTCATTGATGTGCTTGCCTTGTCGAATGCATAAGTCTAAATCTTTGTTGTAATTAGCAATCAAAAACGCATACATGCGTGCAAGCACCCCCTGCTGTCAGCTCCAGATTGGGAATTTTGTAGATGATCAGTACTATTTTAGAATCTCAATGTTGTTTTCATTGAAATTTTGTCATACTTTTTGGGCCTTTGGAATTTTGCGGTCTTAAACTTATTCTCGAGATTGTAAGAGTTTTGCCTGTAAAGTCATTGTGCCTTAGGTGCTATCGCTAATTTTATTTGCATTTGGATTTTGCTTTTAGTTAAACTTAAGTTGAAGTTTAGAATGGATTGAAGAAGGGTCACTGGGCCTGAAACATTGACTCTGATTTTTCTCCACAGATGCTGCCAGACCTGCTGAGTTTCTCCAGCAATTACTGTTTTTGTTTCAGATTTCCAGCATTTGCAGTTCTTTGTTTTTCTTTAAAGAAAAGGGGACATTATGGGTCATGGGTTAGTCTTAAGTTCTGTTATTGGGAAAATGTTGGAATTAAGGAAGGAGCGGCAGAACATTTAAAAAATCAGTATAGAATCAGGCAGAACATGGTTTATGAAAGGTAATTCAGCGTGGCTTCCAGCACATTGTTTGACGGTCAGAGTAACAGTGTGTTTGATGACAAAAACCTCAAACTGATACCAAGCCCACAATCTACAGGGCAGCAGTGTTACCACCTCTCCTGTTGAAGACACGGACAATGTAGAGCGGACACCCCTTGAGAAACCCTCACTAGTGATATTTCCATGAAATCTCGGAAATCTACTAGAAAGTTGGGCTCCAGTATCAGTACGCTGTCTCAATCCAACATCCCTTAGTATCAAAGCATTGGTTACAGTAAATCATCTGTGATGTGCAGAATACATTGACTGACACATACTTCCAAAATAAGCTGTTTACTCCGAGCTTCATCGTGGCAAGTAGTTACCAGGAGAGCAGAGGAAATACTTTAAGGACATCCACAAAACCTCCTTTAAGCAAATGCAGTATGTCTCCTGACTCATGGGAATCTCAAGCCCAAGACTGCTCAAACTGGAGAATCAGCAAAGGTACCAACCATTTTGAGTGTCTTGATAGGCCCAGATGGAAGCCAAGCTCAAACAGTGGAAGAAGCGTAAGCAATCGGAGCACCACCTGCCCACCCCAGCAAGCAGCACCTGGCCCACCTGTGGCAGGGTTTGCTGATCTGGTTTGGACTGTTTTGTCACTTCAGAACCCACAACACTGGAATAGAAGAAAATCCTCATTGATACTCAGGGACTGGCTAAGAGAAGAGGAGAATGAAAGGGAAATCATGTTTAACAAATTTAATGGATAACTTTCAGGATGCAAGAGGGTGAATAAGGGGGAGCTGGTAGATGTGTATTTGGATTTTGAAAAAACATAAAGTTACTACATAATGTAAGAGCACATGGGGTTGGGGGTGATAATATTAGCATGGCTAGAGGTGGGATACTAGTAATTGACAGAAAATCTGGGTAAATGCATCATTTTCAACCTGTTAAACTGTAACTAGTTGAGGCTCACAAGGATCAGTGTTGTCACCTCAACTATTCACAATCTATATTAATGGATAAAGGCACCAACTGCAAATTTGCTGGTGATACAAATGTAAGAAAACAGGTTGTGAGGAGGATACTAAGAGTCTTCAAAGGGATAGGTTGTTAGTGGGTAAGAAAATCAGATGGAGTGTAATATGTGTGAACTTGTCAACTTTGACAAGAAGAATAGAAAAGCAGTAAATTATTTGAAATAAAAAGAGAAAGCAGAACTGTGTCACAGATACATCTGGCAGTCCTGGTACAAAAGTTTTAGTATGCAGCGCAAATTATGCAGAAGGAAAACAGAATATTGTGAATGTTTATCTTGAGGGGAATGGAATATGCAAGTAGGAAAGTTTTGCTCCATTTATACAGAATACTGATGAGGTGATCTTATTGAAAAATGTCACATTCTGAGAGGCCATTATGGGATGGATGTTGAAAGATTGTTTGTTTCCTCTCATGGGGGAATCCAGAATGTGTCTCCCATTTAACACAGGAGATTAGACAGAATTTCTATTGGAGGTTCATTAATCTTTGGAAATTCCTTTCAGAGAGAGCAATGGAGGCTCTGTGTATATTTTATTTATTTTTTCATGGGATGTGAACATCACTTGCAAAACCAGGATTATTTCTAATCCCTGGTTTTTTTTTTAACTGAATGGTTTTAAGACATTTTCTTGGGCATTTAAGAATGAACTACACACTAAGGGTCTAGAATCACTCGTATGCCAGACCAGGTAAGGATTGCAGATTGTATCAGAGATAGTAGGAACTGCAGATGCTGGAGAATCTGAGATAACAAGATGTAGAGCTGGATGAACACAGCAGGCCAAGCAGCATCATAGGAGCAGGAAGGCTGACGTTTCGGGCCTAGACCCTTCATCACAAATGGGGGAGGAGAAGGGGGTTCTGAAATAAATAGGGAGAGAGGGGGAGGCAGATAGAAGATGGATAGAGGAGACGACTGCTGGAGAGGAAACAGACAGGTCAAAGAGGCGGGGATGGAGCCAGTAAAGGTGAGTTTAGGTGGGGAGTTAGGGAGGGGATAGGTCAGTCCAGGGAGGACAGACAAGTCAAGGGGGCGGGATGAGGTTAGTAGGTAGGAGATGGGGGTGTGGCTTGAGGTGGGAGGAGGGGATAGGTGGGAGGAAGAACAGGTTAGGGAGGCGGGGACGAGCTGGACTGGTTTTGGGATGCGGTAGGGGGAGGGGAGATTTTGAAGCTTGTGAAATCCACATTGATACCATTGGGCTGCAGGGTTCCCAAGCAGAATATGAGTTGCTGTTCCTGCAACCTTCGGGTGGCAGCATTGTGGCACTGCAGGAGGCCCAGGATGGACATGTCGTCTGAGGAATGGGAGGGGGAGTTGAAATGGTTCGCAACTGGGAGGTGCAGTTGTTTATTGCGAACCGAGCGTAGGTGTTCTGCAAAGCAGTCCCCAAGCCTCTGCTTGGTTTCCCCGATGTAGAGGAGGCCACACCGGGTACAGCGGATGCAGTATACCACATTGGCAGATGTGCAGGTGAACATCAGCTTGATGTGGAAAGTCTTCTTGGGGCCTGGGATGGGGGTGAGGGAGGAGGTGTGGGGGCAGGTGTAGCACTTCCTACGGTTGCAAGGAAAAGTGCCGGGTGTGGTGGGGCTGGAG